GCCTGAGCCATGCTAATCTTCTCTGTATTATTCCAAGTTTAATAGATATCCCGAAGGACTACACGGGGGTAGTACTCTATGCCCGCTATACTTAGGCATAATGCCCATCTCTCAGGTCTCCCATGGGCATGCCCACGCGTAGGGCCTCTCGCAGCAGACCATGGCTGGCGGTCAGCGCACCCGCCAGTCGGCCCTTCCTTTGGTCTTCTCGATCCGTATTCAAAGTAGGTGAAATAGAGGAGTTTCGCCAGTATCCCGAAGTCACGAAAACCCCAAAAATAATAGTAATAATAATAAAATAATAATACTCATAGAGAGAAAATAAAAATAATAATGAAAAAAATACCATAAAGCAAGGGGAAAGCTCCCGCACCCGCGACAACAACTCATGGGGAATGACCATGTCGGGCCCTCAACACCCCACGGTTCCTTCGCGCAACTCTCATACTCCCGCGCTGCTGCTCACTAGCCTCGATCCCTGGATCTCTCTAATGAAAACCCGACACTGTAACGAATAGTACTAGGCCCAAGGCAAGGTCTACCTTTGATAGGCACCTAAATAAATCGATACTGTGCGACTACCAGACCTACCGAAACGCTTTCAGAACCACCTTGCTGTCGACGTCGTCCTCCGCACATACGCACAAGTCACAAGCAAGCGCACCAATCAAAAGACAGGAACCTTTTCAATCCTAATTTAATCAGGAAAAAAAAAAAAAAATCTGGTCCGTAATTACGCTGACTTTCACAATCATCAATAAAAAAAAAATAGAGAGATCACACGCGCCTCAAATCTGCACGCCCACACACACTCTACCCTAGCCAACCATTCAATCAAAGCCAACCACAGACGCAGCCGCGCCTCGCGCGGGATATTTAAACTCTAAACCAAACCTATTTTCTGTCGCTTGCAAAAAACAGGGCGGATACCCTTGTAAGGGTATTCGCACCGACAACGCCAATGCAAAGCCGCTCCTCTGCGAGAGGGGGGCAAAACGTCAATGCAAAGCCACCCGTTAGTAAGGGGA